AATGTACCGCGAAACCTAGCAGTCTAATAGCCTGCAGAATGGATTAAAGGAAAAATCATCCGAGGTAAAGCTTTTGCAAGTCTTAGTGAAAGTGAAAAGCATATTTCGTTTTCCTTATTTTTAAATTTGAACGTTATATGTAAATTAAAGGAACATTATCTTTTATAGATACAAATAAAACGAACACACCGTTCGTGACCCGTGAATTTCCAAAAGTAAGGATATTGCAGTTAATTTCAAACTGATATAAGCGGCAATTAAGTGAAAATGAACGTATCGTAAATACAAAACGTTTTATAACGCCCGCTACTCGCGAACTTGGTCTGCGCTGATTGTTACATAGATAAGGTAAAGTTGGATGAATACAGTTAAATTACGAAACACCGTTTTAGTTTCATTTGTATAACAGGTGAAAATTACTTTTTTTAGTGTTAATATTAACTGCTGTAATATAAACTGCTGTAATTAGCTGTAAATGAAAGATTTTAAACGATATTGTGTTTATTTTCTAATAAATAAAGTACATCATATTTTAGAATTTGAAAATAAAACACAATAGATATAAATATTTTTCACATTTCCAGCTACCTTCAATCACCTATTTTCTCACCAGGTTAGCTGTCAGAGAACTTATGCATTTAGTTAAGCTTACCCTTTTAACCGACTTCAAAAACGGAGGAGGTTTCTCATTTGACCGTATATATATATATATATATATATATATATATATATATTATGTGTGTTCGCGGATATGAATCGCGTCGTTTATGAACCAATTTTGATGATTCTTTTTTTGTCGGAAAGGAGATATCGCAATGGAGGTACCATGATAAGGAAACCCGGATCTGATGATGGCATCCCAGAGAAATCGCGTGCCGTCATTGAATGTTATAAGTATTAACAATGTTTTTAATTTTCTGATTGAAGTGGGTTTTTTTTTTGTTAAAAATTTTTACATTATTTTCATTTTCATTATTTTGTTTGTATCTTGTGTTTTGTGTACAATAAGTAAAAAAAAAATATATACATATTTGTGGTAGATTATGGGAAACTGGTAAGCAGATCACGAATAATATTAATTTAACACGTCAATATTAATTTATCATTTATCACAAATGATAAATTAATATTTATTTCGAAGCTGAATTATGACGGAGTGTCCAGTGTCTTCTGCTGTGGCACGATTTGCCGATTCTACGACGAAAGTACTCTATGGCGCCCAAGATCTTCGTGTAGAATGCATACTTATACTTTTGCTTTTCATTCAGTGAGTTAGGTAACTCAACACAAATTAGAGTTGAAAGACTTATGCTGTGTCTTTGATCCCAATCGATGTCAATGCTTTCAAAACTTATGCGCCTTAAGTGTATAAATGTTGTCATAAATTACTTACATACGAAAATGTTATCTGTGTTTAAGACAAATACGTACTGTATACTTCGCTTGTAATATAACATTTTTTTTATATTTCAAAAGCTTAATCTGTATTCATAACCACAAAAGGCAACTATTAACTTTAAGGGTTTAAGCTGTATAGCCAGTCTAAAACTACGAAGTTCTACACAGTAGTGGGTGAGTGCTTAGAAAGATTTTTCATATTTATGGAAGAATGTAACAGATGGCGGGAGTAATTATTTCACATCAGGGCAACCACCTGGCTTACTGTTACATAATTACTCCCACAAATCCGCGTAACGCAACTTTTACAAGCAATGATTGCATATGTGTAGCCCTAAAACACACTCATTCGTTTAAATATCTGCGAATAGTAATAGATGAAAATTTATCTTTTAGGCCTCACATTCATCAGTTTAGTCTTCGTGTTTGAAAGCTAATATCTACCATAAAAAAACTGCGAAACTATGTGCTAAAAAATATCCTGCACTTGGTTTACCACTGTCTCTGTCAATCGGTCCTTGAATATGGAATATACCTGTTGGGAGGAGCAGGCAAAAGAACTGTTTTGGAACTGGAAAGAGCACAAAGGGCAATCTTAAATCTTAAAAGTCATATTAAGAAAACCTTTTGACTACCCCACTAACCAACTCTACAGCGAATTTTTATTTACTAGTGCACAAGAGAGTAAAACTAAGAGATGACTACCAGTCTATTGCATCAAAACGTACCTATAGAATTCCTTATCCGCGGACTACTCTCTTCTCGGTAAGCGCAGTCTCGCATTTCTCCATGTTTTTGTGTACATAAGTGATGCATAAGTTATATCTGTCGATTCACACGACAACGTATGAAAAATGTGTAAATCACTGGATTTGTTGGATAATATCGGCTGATGGAATTGGTAGCTAAGCAAAATCCTGGCAATATGTCACACAGTTGCTGCATCGCTACATTTCTCTGATTCTGACGCGCTGCTCGATATATGAAATACTATCCATCCGTTCGAATTCGTAGTAATCTGGGGACTAATTTGGTTCGATTTATTTGTTAGTATGATTCTACATTCTCTAAGGGGTGATTTATAAACAATGGGCAAAATAAATGAATAGCACACCTATTTGTATTTGACAAATGTAGATTTAAATATAATTAATCTGTTTTAATTTGAATTAACTATCTTCACTATAAAAAATGTATGCACATTATAAGTAGGTTTTCACATATAGCAACTCATTTATTTTTAGTTTTTAAATGTGTAGTAAATTTAGATTCTCTTTAAATTTTGATTTTAATTATTTTCTTCTTACAAGCGTAAAATACGCTTATTTGGTAATACATTTTCAGTTTAGTAATACAAACAAAATTAAGTTAGAGTTTTCCTTTGTTATGACTTCTGATATTTACATGGCTTCATGCTTATTTTCAGCTTAGTTCTTTGCTCCACATTGCAAGAAAACAACATTTCCAGACTTAAATGAATAATATTTTTCAAGCAGAGTTTATTTCCCGTTGAATGATGAAAAATGGATTAAAAATTTGTTAAAAATTTGTTACGATCTTCGATTTTATATAACAACTTTACATGATTTATGTAAGTGTATCCATTTAGGACTTAAGTACGTAGTAATACGGATATTATGAAACATTTTAATTAATTAATGTTATATGCCAAATCTTGGAATGTGACCTGAAGATTCTATTTCTGTTTCCTCGCTTAAAGTAAATTTTACAGATAATAATTCAAAAGTAATCGAAATTAGTTGAGTATACACTGTAAATTGATCTTTTATAAGTAAGAACTTGGAAATCTATTTAATATTGTAGCCTCTAGTAAACGGGAATGACACTTATGGTTGTAGAAACTCGAATGAATATTAATGGTGCTTTCGAAGCCGTTTATGGGGTTGTAAGGAAAGCCTCGCGATTCGTAGAATTCAATTCTATGGCGCCGGGCGGCCGTGGTGGTACTTACTCGGAATCAAATAAATTTTATGCCTTAGCCTGTTACTAGAAACCTATTACTGATATATATTCACATTTGAAAAAATTGCCATTTAAACTTCCGCCTTGACTGAAGTAACCATAGGTTTGTTGTAAGGAAAATGGAGCTGTATACTGCATACAAAAATATTAACATCATAAAAGAATTTTTCCATTAAGTATTATTAAGCGTCGTTATTATTGTAAATGAATTATTCTAATAAAATATATTGTGTATTTTCGGGATCAGTTCCTTGTCTGTACCTGACCCTTAGGTTTCATTGCTTCATTCATTTCATTCATTCACTCATAGGTAAAGTCATCTCGGTGCTTCGGCGAAACTTTACATACGGTTACTTATTGCTGAATTTGAACCATAATTAATACGTTAATTTAATTAACCAGGGACGAAAATTTCACGTAACTTCCTTCCCGTTCGTATAAATTCACTGATGTTCATAGTTCCCTACGCCTTTTTTAAATATTCGATACTGTGTTACGATAGTGTTAAGTACAGCGTATTCAAACTACGTACATGTACTTATTATCCGGTGAAAAAGTTATTGTAGTATTTTTGATTTCTCCTTTGCATTTTACTAATTTGCCCTCTAAGAGAGTAAAATCTTATTTTACCCCTACCGCTATCTTCTGTTCTATTCTTAATGGTATTGGATAGGGTTTTTATTTTACGACCGGCCGCCTGACGTCAACCCTCCTTGGCAATAAACTCCGAATTTGCTACAATTATTTACGTCTCACAAATACTTATCCCTTGTGGGAAACGAACACTTGACTCCGGCACCAAAACCAATAGCTTAGCAGCTGCGCCGCCGATACTCCTAAGGAAATAGAATTTTTTCACCTATACAGGCTCAAGTTAGCGAACTCGTGGTTAAAATCTAATAAAAAGCCATCGACAATGAGTGTGAGCACAATTTTGAACACAAATGTTTTGATTCTAAAGTCTTTTCTATATCAGTTCGAAGGAAAATACCGGAACGTGAAGGATATTATTGTAAGGGGTGTAGTATGAATTGGAGCTTCGAAAGAAAGAGAAGGCTTCAGCAAAGGGGAGGCACCGAAGCCGCGCGCCGGTGCAAGTCATTCTCACCCACCAGTCGTCTACGAGTCGCGCGCCGAGACGGTCGCGTGTCAAACGTACGGCGGAAGAGGCCTTTCAAACTTTTCACGGCACGTCGAGAAAGTATTACATAGTCCTAAAGTTGACCGCCCTCTTAATCACTTCCTCGCGTGTGTTGAATGCAATCCAAAGAGCGTTTACTTTGTGTTTCATAGCTTAAAATGTTTTGAGCGGTACATTATTGACTTTTTTACTAGATTTTACCGTCATCTTAAAAAGTCACTTTTATCATTTTACTTATTCACGTAACTCATATGAACAACGAAGAGAAAGGGTTTTTCAGAAAATAATTGTAGACTTATTACAGCGACTACATGTTTTTCGTTAGGAATTTGCTAAGATAAAATGTAACGAAAATGTATTTCGCACTTAATTTACAAATTCTTTTAATGGATTTGATCTGACATTCCAGATTAGTATAATTATGGCATGAATTAAAAATCAATGTAAAAGTTTTTCATTTTCCAAAAAAAGCGAAATCATGTTTTTACCATTGGTATTGTTGGATTTGCTGTTGATTGGGAGAGTTGCTACGACATGTAAGTTTTAATTCTACAACTGATTTGATGCGTGCTTCTTAAAAATATTTTATTCGCTGCTATAATACACAACTACCATAAATTTTGTTTCATGGCTTCGCTCACCATAAAAATAATTCATGAAGCATGATTCATATTAAAAAGAAATTGTAAGGTCCGTGAAAAAATAAAAAAAAGAAAGAAAGAAAATCAAATGCTATGTTATTAATACGAAATATTAAATATTGAAGTCTAAAAATATATATTAAGCAAAATATGTATCCGTTTGGAATCTTGATCGAAAAAGTTGATTAGAACATTGGGCGTTTAAGTGGCGATTAACTTTTACTAGGATTTAGAAACTACCAACCCTACTTAATTATATAAAAATATTTTATTTTGTTCTCTTAAATCATTTTTCACCTTAAATCACAGTAAATAATATGTAATTTCAATAATAATTACCTCGCATCGTATATTGTATTTAACATACACGTACGCACACGTGTAAGTTAAATACAATATAGTATAGTAAAGTAAAAAAGTTACTTCTTTACTTTACTACATGCTCAGGTATACGCCTATATTAATCATTATCTAATGTATAAAATTCTCGTGTCACGATGTTTGTAATTGAACTGTTGCGAAACGGCTCACCGATTTTCTTGAAATTTTGTGTACATATCGGCCAGGGTGGAGAATCGGACAACATCTATTTTTCATCCTCCTAAATGTTAAGGGTGATCCACCCCAAACATTTTTTTCTACCCTACAAATAATTTATATGGCAAAACAACATTTGCCAGGTCAGCTAGTATTCTTATAAATCATCATCATCATTCTGCCCATGCCATTTTTTTTTCATTCATTTATACCTTATACCATGGAGGTGGGGAGGGCACAACATGTGAATCATGTTGTAAGTGGTTTTGGCTAAGTTTTTTACGACAGGCCGCATACCTGGCGCCAACCCTCTATGGGATACCATCACCGAGATTTGGAACAATTTGCTGAGGGTCACACAAATACTTGTCCGTGTGGGAATCGAACCTATGAGCGTAACAGCACCACCGAGTCATCGTATACAAATATGAGTATAACGAATTTTGCTGTAATCCGATGGTGCTAGAACGGTAATACGATAATAGTAGAACTTTGGGACGGTAATCATTCAAGCTAGCTTATTTATGTTTTATAAATTCTAGAACAGCTAAACACTAACTTCACATTATTATAACGTGAAGTTTATTGTGCTATTAATGGGTTCTTTAATTTACTCAGATATACGATATTCGGGCTATATAATTGTCACCTGTTAAAGTTGTGTCATCCTATTTTTGGATAATCGCGCTAAAATTTGACGTGCAGTCAATTAGTGAAGTCGGCGGCTGGCGTGGTGATCGTTCGTAATTTGTCAGTGACAACGCCGGAAGTTTCACAAGCCCAACTTTAACAATATCACCTATTACGTTATTTAGTAATACTATAGATTGACGTGCACTGGCTACTAGCCTTGATTATTAATAAGTAAGAGAAAATTTAATCCGGTGTTTAAATAAGCAGGCAGCCATCGTCAGAATAACTCTATGATAAAAGATTTAATATCTGTATGCTTATAAATGAACACACGTCTAACGCTACTTGCCAATAATCATTAAAAAATATTAACGTTAAACAAAATCCATAATTAAAAAAAAATATTTTTCAAACAAAGTAATTAAGTAAAAAAGAAACAAAATTTGTAACATATACAACCTATACAACTCGCGTCACAGCCTCTCCTTCTAACAGTATGTTTTGTCTCTTTTAAATTCATTCAACCCATTCATATGCTTTGTGACCTTTACAAATGAACTTTACGTTACGCTTTTTTATAGGTAAGGGTGTTCTAAAATTCTTTGTTTTGGAAAATTTTATAACACTGTAAATATTGATGTTTAAAGAATTTAAATGTTTAATACAACTTTAAAAAGTTATCCCCTATATGCGAATTCATTTATTGTCGCGATGGTAACGACACGCTGTATAACTAGCGGACCGGGTAGACGTCCTGTACACACGACTAAAATCCGATAACTTAAAAACACTTGTGAATCTAAACCATTCTCGAATCGACCTGAAGATGCACATTAAATTGCATTAAAATCGGTCCAGCCCTTTAGGAGTACTTCAGTGACATACACACGTACAGTAGAATTATATATATAAAGGAGATATATTATTGCACCCGTCTATTGACGTGTGAATGATTTGACTTTAATTGTCCTGGCATTGAAAAAAGAAATTTATACTATTTAGAATATGCAAATAACTATATTTATTGGAATTGTGTAAATTTGAAGTTTTATGTTATTAAGTTACACTGCCTAAGTGTTGTTTTAAGGTATCATCTGGAAATTAAGTTTTTACAACGCTATCTCGCTTTTGTCTCGGCAGGTTGAAATATTTTGTTGTACAAAGAGAAGGTTATTTAACTTTAATTTTATATTATTTACTTTCGCCACTATTTTGCCGTATGTTATTTAATTTTTAAATGATATAAAAATTTGTTAAAGTTTTCTGTTAGCATATTGTTTTAAACTTTCCAACAGAGTTTTTAAAACTGTCACTTAAAAAAAATCGATCATTATAGAATCAAAGTAACTGTCAATTAGTGAAAAAACAGAACTAAAAAGAGACGAAGAAAATTAATTAAGCACCTCATTCCTTTAATATGTTTTATGATTAACGATTTTTATTGCCGTTTCAAGATCAATTCTTTTGGTGTAATGAATTCATCCAATTAATTTATTCTGCTTGCAGACGAACCGGGTTTCAGTGCTCCCATTGCAAATGTGACGGCCCCGCTCGGACGAGAAGCTGTTATGGCATGCACTGTCCACAATTTGTCCACTTATAAGGTTAGTGCAACAATATTGTTTCCCCATCCTTCCGAGTTTGATAAACGAAGGAAGCTTGGCTTAGTTTTGTAGTACGAAACAAAAATTATTAGGTTCCAAACACGATATGCTATATATAGAGTCTATACGGTTATATTTTTGATATATTAGAAACTGAACATGAATCGTAAACGAAATATATATATTAGTTATACATTAAATTGGATAACAATTGGTAACAATCTAGAGTTACAGCGTGCAGGATAGTAAAAAAGACGAAATACTTGAAGCTGATGGAGATCGAGTTGACCAGTAAGTGTTTGAATATGGAAACAACAAAACTATGTGTTGAAAATGTTGATACGGACGTGAAGCGGAAATACATCAAGCAGTTTTACATAACTTTTTATTTATAAATTTTTTCGAGGAAAATTCAATTGTTCAAGCTAACGATTTCATGCCGTATTATAACTTGATAGCTATTCGTCTCGCTGCAAAGCCATTAATAACGGCTTATTTAACTAATTTTCCTGATTTTAAAAGCAATGTCCTTAAAAACAATATTCAATAAAACATGTCGTTTAAAGAATCTGATACTTTTTTGTTTCTCATAGCAAGATTGTTTCCATTTAATTTTATTGATATGTAAGCTTTTGTTATGAATAAAATGTATACTAGAAATATTTTACAATTACTTTACAAAAAAAACTTATTTTCAAAAACAATAAAGAAATTGAAACGAACATCCTTTAGGTATTCCATTTAGTTTTTGGAGTTGGCTATTAATAGCTGCAATGACGTGGTTAATATTAGTTTTATTTTCATTTGCTTGATTTACAGGGAATATTATATTTCCACCGGATCCAGGTAGATCAATCGTAACTTGGATCGAATCGAAATTAATGTACGACTTACGTTTTCTATTAAGAATACTGCTTTGCTCCACATGTCCAAATTGTTTCCTTTTTAAATATATGTGAAACTACTGTGTGGGCCTTTTACTGTCCTTTCAAGGTTTGTGCGAACTTAATTTTATCGAGTCGTGGCAAAAGCATCATGAAACGTTATTTATTTGGAAGTTTTTTTTTAAATATAAAGTGGGAGGTGTTAAATTTTTATACTACCATTACTATATTCGATGACTCCGCGGCGCCGTTGCCAAGGTATTGGCTTCGGCGTCGGGGGTCGTGGGTTCGATTCCCACACGGGACAACTATTTGTGCGACACTCAGATAGTTGTTTCGCATCTGGGTGTTTAAAGTAAAGTAAAGTAACAGCCTATACATGTCCCACTGCTGGGCAAAGGCCTCCTCTATACAGAGGGTATCAGGGCATAGTCCACCACGCGGCCCCACTGCGGATTGGCGGACTTCACATATTTTCGAAAAATAGTTTTTTTTGTTATTATTTCGAAAATATGCAGGTTTCCTCACGATGTTTTCCTTCACCGCGGAGCACGTGATAAGTCAGCACTTAAAGTTAAAAACTTCATTGGTGCCGGCACCGGGGATCGAACTCAGGTTGCTCGAGTATATTGAAATAAAGGCGAGCGCCCGGACACTGAGCTATCACGGCTCTCTGGGTGTTTGTCCTCGTGTAATTTATGTTTGTAAAACGTCCTTACAACACAGGATAATGTTATCCTAAAGTGACGGCAACGTTTAAAAAAAAGAAGAAAAAAGAAAAAAAAATATGGCAAGAATGGCAATATAACAGTGGGTAAAAACTAACTTATATGATAACGGTAATACAGACACCGATATATTTGTGAGGGGAATTGCGAAGTTATATTTCTAAATTATGAGTGGTTTTTGTATTGTTATGACACCATTTAGGTTCAGCAGTACGCGAATTATTAGACTATTCTCTAAATAATAAAAAAAGAGCCCAATTTTCAAAAGGTTGTCAACGCATCTGGAATTCTCGGTTATAGCAGTGTCGATGGGCGGCCGTATTCACTTAACATCAGGTGAACCGTCTGCTCGCTTGGCAACCTTTCGCATAAAAAAAAAAAACAAATACGCCGTGAATTGGATTAAGTTATGTTATTGTAGTAACTTGCAATGTTATATTGCTTTATTTCATATCACTACACAGTATAAGTATAAGCAGAGCCGTGATAGCTTAAAAAGATATTTCGAAAATATGTGAAGTCCGCCAATCCGCATTGGGGTCGCGTGGTGGCCTATGCCCTGATACCCTCTTTACAGATTAGGCCTTTGCCCAGCAGTGGGACATTTATAGGCTGTTACTTTACTTTACTTTTACATAGTATAAAACAAAGTCGTGCCGCTGACTGTCTGTCCCTATGTATTATGTATGCTTAGATCTTTACAACTACGCAACGGATCTTGATATGCGGTTTTTACTAGATAGAATGATTCAAGAGGAAGGTTTATATGTATAATTTGCATTGTGCATTGCACCCGTGCGAAGATGGGGCGGGTCGCTAGATATTTTTAAAAGATAATTACAACATTAAAATTGTATATTACGAATAAAAATAATTTTTGCCTGATAATATTTCATAAAACAATTTAAAAGTCCCCCTCACTATTTCGTCACCTTTCTGAAACGGCATACCAGAGACTTGTAATCTTTTTCGATGAAAGTACTTATAAACTAGTTACTGCGCTTCAAACTTCACTTTTCGGTCTCAAAATCACTTGCAAGTAGTTTTTTAAACGCATTGAACCCTGAAGAATGCTTACGATTTATGTGCATATAAAGTATTCTGTATAAAACTAGTTGTTTCCTTACAGTTAACTTGTTGTGGAGTGAACACAATAGATTTTGAAGCTGCAAGTATGGAGACAGATGCCTAAACTAAGCAAAGCCTGTATTTTAGGCCATCAGGTCCCCCTCCCAGTTATAATATGTATCCACTATAATTGAATTACAATTTGACAAATACAATACATTCAATTTCATTAGAAAAGTGTGTGTGGGCGAGTATATACATAATTTGTGGGTGTGCGTGTGTGCGCGTGCCTGTGTGTGTGTCTGCGTATGTATGTGTAGATAATTATGAGGTATAGGAAATAATACAATTTCTATGTCATTACACAAAGTAGGTCTTGAGTAGCTTTGTAGTCCATTTTTTGAAGTGTCTCATATCTTTCTTAACTTTAATTTTAGTAAGGGTATATATATTGAGTTCTTTATTTATTCTATTGTACAAATGTCCCCCGAGATGACAGAAAAATCTCTTATACATAAGAAGCATGGTTATAATGGGAGGTACATATGCATCTTTACGTCGCTTTTGTAGTGAAAGATTCGGCTCATGTTTTGATAGAGTATGCTTTTTTAACACCGTATGCAGAATGAATAATTGCCTGACTGTAAGTACTTTAGCGTTTTTATACAGTTCAGAGGTAAGATATTTCAAGGGGAGAAAACTACTTACTTTTAAAATCAGTCTTTGAGACCTTTCTAGTGACAACAAGGAAGATTTATTAGCTCCCCCCCAGCAAGTAATTAAAATATATTATTAGTGATTGGCATAGAGAAAAATAGACAGATCTATAATTGAATCGGCCACATTTCTGAGTGTTCTAAAAATATAAGTCAATTTACGTAGCCTATTGGAAAGTGCGTCAATATGAAAGTTAAAACGTAAGTTAGCGTCTAGTAAAATGTCAAGATATTTAATGGTATGTACTTGTTGCAACGGTGTACATGCACAAGTAAAACAGTGGGGAAATTGACAAGTATGCGCAGTAATATGATGAGTAGGGACAAGTGATGATTTAGTCTTCTGTCTAGAGAATGTCAAATACTTAGTATTGTCTATGTTAAGGGTTAGTATTTAGTAGTGTTTGGTAATCCTATTTAGCCCAGTTTGAGCTGAATTAAATACTTGAACCCAAGAAGTACCGCTAAATATTAGTGCTGTGTCGTCTGCAAATGAAAAAAATTTTCCATTTTTACATTCATATATATATATAAGAATGTTGTATGAAATTAAATAATGATTAAATAATATTCAAATGATACGATGCAATCTTGTTTCAGACTATGGTCTTTATCGGCGAATAGACTGTTTATCTGAATTTTGCTATAACAGTGTCTGCATGAAATCGGGATTCATTGTTATTTTCACGGTTTTATTATATATTTCGGTTTAAAATTGTTCAGTTTTAATTATTTTTGTAGGTTGCGTGGCTGCGAGTGGACACCCAAACTATATTAACAATACACACGCACGTTATATCAAGAAGTAGAAGGATTGGTGTGACGCATAGTGACCACCGAACCTGGTTCCTTCATATCAGAGAGTTAAGAGAAACAGACAGAGGGTGGTACATGTGTCAGATCAATACTGACCCTATGAAAAGTCAACTTGGTTATTTAGATGTGGTCGGTAAGTAGAGCGAAGGACTCCATTTATACTTCTGCAGATTATCCTCTGTTAAATGGTGTTTAGGTATAGTTCATCACGTTCGTTTGCAAACTGAACATTGATTCTATACAATCATAATGTGTTCTAATATTACCGTAATAAATTCAATACAATTTTCACTGTTTAGTAGTTTGCGGCAATCGAAAGTGATTACTGAAAGATTGTCGCTTCTATATCAAAGAAATAATTAAGACTTTTGTTGATGACAAAGGTTTAATGCATCTTCAATCCAATGTATAGTATTACTAATGATATAACTTGGATCACGCAAGAGATTTTGCCGTTGCACGAATGAGTAGGCCATGCAGGGATGTACCACAGCTTCGCAGAAGACTGGCTTGAAGTGAAAGTGTTATACTTTCGCGTTTCATCTTGTAAAACGGGACCCAATATAGTTCAGGTTTGAAACGCGTCTGTGACATGTCAGGTGTTGTGGACCTAGGGCGGTGATGTCCCTCAACATCAGGTATGTCGCTTACATGTTTTCCAATATTTTGATGTCTTGAAAGTCGTCTGGTATTGTAAATAAAATAAACTGCACTTTGTTAGAGCATTTAGAATGACGTCAACATAAACTCGGTCCCAATCCGGTAAAGCTTTACCCAATTAAAAAAAGATATTGCAAATGATAAACATAATATTGATGTTTATTCATTTGCCTTTGTATTATCAAATATTTTAAATAATGTTAAGTTCAACGGTACACAAAAAAAATCACAGTACAACTACTGATTTCACTCTATTGCTGACTATCAATTTCTTTAATGATCAATTCTACAAAAATGTAAAAACAAATTTTTGTAGAATTGATAGTTTTTAAAGTACAGGCTAAAGCCATAAAAATATGTGGTATTATAGAAACAAAGCGAAGTAAAACTGATTGAAACACTGTGCTTATAATGTTGTGAAATATATTTTCTCCAGTGGAACGTTCGACGTGGCCTTGTTGTAATGGCCTACATACCACTGTTTCTTACCGGTACCTTTATAGTTCTGTAGTGCCGCCACACGAAACAGTCTTTTCACACGAAATGATCTATTTCTCAATTTGTTAGTGCCACCAGATATTTTGGACCGAGGGACAAGTACGGACCAGACCGTACGAGAGGGGGCATCCATAAGTATCACGTGCGCGGCCACAGGTTCTCCACATCCTCAAATCACATGGCGGAGAGAGCATTCTAAAACCATAACTGTGTCAGATGGTATACAAGGTAAATAATATGTAGGTAATTAAATAAAGATACAGCATCTCCGGTATTTTTAATTAAATTTTGCAGGATTTTTTTTGACTCAATAATATCTGAGTATGATGTGTAAATATACTATTTTTTTTTAAAGATTTTGTTTAAGAATATTTTATCCTGGTATTATATAATTAATAATACTTAGTGTACCTATATGGAATTTAACGTTCTATTGGGGGGTGTACGGTTCTTTCTTATTGCTGTTGAGAAAAGACCTTCCGGTCTTTTCTTAAGCAGTAGTCTTCCAGATGATGATGATGGTGAAGCAAAAATGATGTGATACTTACAAAAAAGGGTATGTATGCTGTATGAACAATAATAATGGAACAAAATGTGTATCCCTAAACCTCAACGCTTTTATTTATACGTTTATAACGTTTCATTGTTTGTTGGCATTTAAATTCTAGCTCGCCGAGTTAAATTCTACTTTATTTGCAGTGACATCGTTAGAAGGTCCTGTTTTAAATATAACCCGAGTAAATAGGCAGCACGCGGGGGCATATTTGTGCATTGCATCTAACGGTGTGCCCCCTACAGTGAGCAAAAGGATAATGCTTACTGTTGAGTGTAAGTGACTTAGAAACATAACGTTTGTTTGAATTTGCATAAGTGTATGTCGTTGCAACATTGTTCCGTTATTCAGATCCACCTATAGTAACAATAAGAAATCAATTAGTGGGTGCTGTGTTGGGTTCCGATTTAGTGCTAGAATGTGAAACGGAGGCCTACCCAAAACCTGTCAGCTACTGGAGTAGAGAAAACGGGGAAATCGTTCCCATCGGTGAGTCTTTTCTTTCATAATACATGAAAGTACGAGTGTTGGTACTCGTTTTATCATCTGCTAGACCTCAAAATACCATAAGATCCTTTTGCGTAGATCGTAATAAAAATAAATAATGAAATAATTTACGGTAGCCAGTGTTAACTGTGACTTTAAAACATAGAAAAACTTAGTCTGTCCCGTGACCATGAAGGCTGTAAAGTGTACGAAGTATCGGTATATTAAAAATCAAAATAAACGCGTAAAAATCCGTAAAATAGTTTCATTCACAATTTATAATATTCGCGCCAAATAATGAAATCAATATTATGATACTAATTATAGTTCTATCAGAAGTTATTTCACAAACCATTCTCTCAAAGTAACCAATCCTATTAAATATGATTTTTAGGATAGGAAATCAGATAATCATCAACATTTCAATAGACGATACTCTCGGGTCCAGTCAATAATAAATAAAGTCTGACCCAAACCAACCAACGTCAGAATGTTAAGATAGAATAAGCACTACATGGGTAGATTGGAAAAAAATTTATTATTTTTATAAAATAAAGATGCCTAGGCATCGTTCGACCAGACATCGTTCAGGGCTCAAACAGCTTAGGCATTTCCGAGACCATGAATATTTGAATAGAGTATGCCAAAGTTCATTAAAAATATACATAAAAACTTGTTAAGACTCAAACCGGCTCAAATGTAACTTTATTAAGACCTCTAGCAAATTTCTAAAATTAAACAAAAGCTGTTAAGTGGGTCAAATGTTTGGAATTAAAGTCATAAATTCATTCAAAATAATAAATTTACTTAAATTTTTCATATATGTTACATTTCGATACCTTGTAGGGTTCAGAAATATTCATATGAATATTTGAAATGAATATAATTATGATAAATATGACATTAAAGTTTTTGTTTTAATGCCACTGTTTGAACCATGGGGGCGAAGTCGAGGATTTTCTTCTATGCATGTAGCATAGAAGAATATATATTATGAATTCAATATCTATTAGCTTACAATGTATGATACTATATAAATAAATTATGTATATAAAATAAATTTAAAGCGTTTATATATTAAGGTGAATGTGATCTACGTGCCTTTACGTATAGGTTCTAGGGGATTGACGTCTATCAGACAATGCGGGTGCGTACTACAAAGCTATATTAGAGAAACGTAAATAATAACAACTATTTATGAAAGTCTATATAACATTTGTTGACATATATATTTAAAATTGTAGATTCTCTGTTTAGAGTGGTTCTTAATAAAAAAAAGTTTGACAATTACTGACACAGCTAGGAGCTGTGTGTGTTAGTGTGAGTGTTTTATTTTCTTGGTCAGTTCTGCATTTATTGATTAACATTATCATAGCTGTAAGTATAACTTTTTCTTCCAATGTTCAAAATATATCAATAGGAAAAAAAATTAAGAATATAAGGTAATGTGATGAATTGTGAGTCTATAAAAATATATACGACATTTCATATATTTTATATATATTTAACAATAATTATAATATTTAATTCCATAAGAAGGAAGGCTTCGTGATTTTTTATTGTTTGAATGTCGTAACATCATAGGCCCGTGGGTTCGTTTTGCTATGGATGAAATATGATACTTCAACATGAATTCTAATTTTAGGTAGGGGCTTGGAACCGCAAAAGATAGCTGGTTCGTATCGCACTATTCTACGGCTTCCCATCCGCAGGATAACCAGCTCGGATTACGGGGCATACAAATGTGTCTCCAAAAACTCCTTGGGCGATAGCGAGGGAACTATTAAACTGTATCGTGAGTGCTTTTTTTTTAAACATTGCCATTACTTTAGGATAATATTATCCTGTGTTGTAATGACGTTGTCATAAATTGCACACAGACAAACACCCAGATGCGAAACAACTATATGTGGGTCACACAAATAGTGGTCCCGTGCGAACCCACGACCCCTGACGCCAAAGCCAATACCTTGGCAACTGCGCTATGGAGTGATCGTGTTTGACGTTCCTATCTTCAATTAGAGTCATCAGTTTAAAATTTTGTACAGTTATTAATATATTTGTAATCAATTAATGTGTTATTGGAAATTAAGTCAAGAATTCTCAAGATTCAGGTATTGTTTTAGCACAGGTATTGTTCAGGGGTCTTTTTTGTGGAGACCTTTTTATTAATCTATGCGATTTTTTTTTTCGCCTGAGTGAATATTATTCTTAATCATACACTTTGCTATGGGGGAAATAAGGAAAATAAACGAGAAAAGAATAAACTTTAATCAATAAAGTAATGAACGTAGTCAATTATCATATTTGGATCATATCCGCCATGGACGTGATCTTGATGTCGGCTGACATTGCATGAATATTTGCAACGTTATACATCGGGTGGTCGCAATTAGCGGTTATTAATTATTAAACCACAGAGGATTCCATATTAATTTCTCCTAATTAGTTTGTTTGTTAAAGTTAAAACTATTGTTCTATAGTGGACTATCAAGCGAACTCTCTTTGATTTTAGAAAATATCGGCGAATTATTTTTGTAAGACAGAGTTATCAGTTAGAACTTTTCATAATTATTTTTGACTGCGGAGACGTTGTTTAACAATTGAATTTTGTATGAGGTTGCCTGAATACGTTATTATTTAGTGTCCACAATGTTTATTACTATATTTGCTTACATACGTCGAGGAGTTGAATGGATGTATTCGCATTAGAAGGTCCGTTTCTGACGCAATTTGTTACGCTAAAGCCTCGAAATATTAAGTAGTGTAAAGTTTAGTAAACCCGGCTGTAGACAAGTACGCGATGCTATCAGTAACAGGTGACACTGGTGAGGCAGATTTGAATTTAATGCATTAAAGCCTAAAGACACAGTATTATATTCGGAATATGGTATCCATTTCAGTGATATTTATTTACAAACTATTGCGTACATCACTCATTTAATACTTATTTAATACTTAAATGTATATTATAGATGTGTAAATGCATGTACTGTTGCAGTAAAAATCTACGTAGAAATAAATTCTATATGCATTAATGAAACCAATTTTACTTTTTATTCACAGCAATGCCATCACCAGCAGTGGATAATAACAATGGTATTAACCAATTATATCCTTTGCTATTATATACAAGTGTTAAATAAGTCTCAGTTGATTTATATGGTTATTTTGTTGACAGTAGTTCAGAGGCTGAATATCGTTGCTGACAAATCTTCTGATAGTACTCCGTTCGGTACTCAAGGTAATTTTCGATTTATTTTTACAACTACCAAATAACCAAACCAAAATAATAACATAAATGATACAAAATAACATCAAGTTGCCATAGATTAAACTAACACTGTATCAAATTTATCTTCAATGGAAATTGCTATAACAGTATTATTTAGATTATCTCACAAATGCTGTTAAAAGTATTATTAAGTAACTAGACAAAAAACGATATTAACCGAATTTTCCTTAATGCTTTAAAATTTTGGTCTAATTAATGAAATGTTTGCAGATTTCAGGTTACAAGATTACAACCGAGGGGCTTGGAAGGATTCTTTCCATTTCAGCTTACTGTCCTCATTAGTACTTGTTACTTATGTTGTTACATCGTGGACTTTTATTTGAAGTTGAAGATGAAAAAAAAATAATAAACAAAACACGTATCCACTTGCTTTGCCTTGTTATAGTATAATATTCCTTTTTCGTTAATTTATGGATCGTTTTATAAAGGCTAAATGCATTAATAAAGACATAGAAGCTGTGTGGCTTAAGTATGATTTAAAAGATGAAGGCACTTTTAATATGTATCTGATAATATGATTATAAAAGTGTTATCCTATTAAGATAAGAGTTAGATAAGTAACGATTTCGGTATTGTAGATAAAAAAAACAGAAAATAGTTTTATACTTTTAGAAAACGATTTAGTAATGATCCTACGAATTCCTATAATTAAAGCCAATTTAAAAATACAATTAAAATACAGTAAACTAAATGAATTTTGTCCTCTGAAGAAATATAGAAAAATACTAAAAAATGACGGGCTCTTCTTTAAGAAGTTGCTCTGAAGACATATTTGCTATATTTAGAAAACTTCCGCTATTTACTTTACTCTCAAACGTGTAGAAATAGATTTAAAACTACTTCTACAAAATACTTTGTATTTAGTGACCTACGGTAACCACAATGATAAGCTAAGATAAATATATTATATAACATATCCTTGTTTTAAGTGAAGAGGAATAAAATTAAAATATTTATTTATGTAGTGTCATATCAAGAAAGTATTATAAAGATAGACTGATCTTCGTAAATATAGCCTGTAAATAAAAGCTAAGTAGTTTAATGGTCATGCCTATATTCAAATATATATTTCATTTAAACTATGGGATCGGTGGATTTATTGTGAATAATGTTTATTAGGTAAGCTTGAAATGCTTTAACATATCTCATGTAGTCTGAACATAAATACATATCTACTGTGCCCACCACAAATAAAAATATAACAACATATAAAAATTATCATGAATTAATTACATGAAGAAACTGCAATAGGATATTTTGTGCGCTACTAGAAGACGCAATTTACAAGTCTAAGGATTTGAAACAGGATAGGTGACAGCTGATTTCAATGCATTACGAATGTTCAGTGTTCTGTTTAAACAAATTATAGTTATTTCACCTTTAAGTTAATATGAAATAAAAGGAACCTGTTATTAACACATATAAATATTTGTGTTTTATAATTTTCTGTAATAACAAAGAATTATGTGCGCGGACCACTGAATCGCTGTACCGAATAAAGCTTAAATTTGTTGTATCATTGTTTATTTTACGCCAGCGGCAAGGATAAACCTATAAAAGAACATAATGACAGCAATAAAAGAGGAAATGTGATTGAACGCTTTTTAAGTTCAAACCCTTAATTTACGTCGAAGCATTTATCAGGATTTTATTTGACATATTCATTAATCCTTTTTTTTTCAATAATTTATTCGTTCGGTGTATCGTTCCGATGACTTGGTGGTGCAGTTTCTAAGCTACTGGCTTCAGTGCCGGGGTTCGTTTTCCACATAAGGTACAAGTATTTCTGTACCCACCTATAAATGTTTCGGATCTGGGTGTTTATTTCCAAGGGTTGAGTTATCTTACCATTAACATACCTAATGCTTCATATGTTGTGCCGTCACCGATGAGGGCAGGAGAAAAAAGAAGAATGTTTTATGCCCCTTACCATTTACCGTTCCATTAGTTACTCTTGCAACCTAAGAAATTTATAGTAACTTCGAGATCTCTATTTATATTTACTTTACTTATGATCTTAAATCAAAATGCAATTAATAAAGCTTTTAAAAGGCACTGTTATATTAAATATTATTAAAAGTCAATAGCGGAACATGGCAAATGACTTCGGTACACCTGATGTTCTGTGATAACAACCGCCCATGGATACTTAGGGTAGCAAACACGTTGCCACCTCTTATGAAGCCTGGCCTAGGGCTACCTCGGGTTACCCCACAAAAACCATCTTCTGCATCGGTGGGCACCTTCTGCACGTTTGGAGAGACTCCGAGATCTCCTACGGAAGGCACTGGTGTCCCTGAGTACTGCGGGTGAGCACGTCTTGGAGAAGGGTAGACCTTCCTCGATTCCCCCGCCATCATGCAGCAGCTCGAGACCACTTCGTGCTGCCGCCAATTCGTCCTGCGGCCAAGGGCCTCCTCCATACAGGGGGTAAAAAGTGCGAAAATTTGTAATAAGACATTTGTAATAATTATTTAGAAGTAGGTATTAATAGTTTTTTTAAATTCAATAAAGGAGATTTTAAAAATACCGTTAAAAGTGTATTAAGTTTTTTTATTAGTAAAATAAAAATATCACCATGTATTTTTGCTTCAACCCACGAAGGCGGCGACGCAAGCAAAATCACACATATAAGTTGCAGATATAAAACTAAAAAAATAATAAACACAATCTATCTACAGCAGCGTCCATCATTCTGTGAAACTTACATCTACAAAAAATATTTTATTGTCATCCTTCTGTGTTATAGTTGCATAAAGGTTGCACACATTTTTGTAAAAGTTTAGTTATCATTTTTCATGACGCAAGAATTGTTTGTATGCATTTTCTTGCAAGAGAAAACAGCGGGCCACTCACGGTGCCGAATATGTGGGTGAATTGCCAACGACTAAGAGTTTTAGTATCTGAATCGGTAACTGATCGACGAAACGCAAAAGTATAACTAATATATTTTTAACTGTGACAGGTCCACGCAACAGTGTTAACTGGTCCGTCCGGGTAAGTATCTTGTATCTTGTATTAACTGATGTTTTTGCTTTCAGTCCCGAGACTATTAAAGCTTCATCTGACGCAGAACCGGTGGGCTAGCCAGAACCCACGGGTTTGGGCCCTCCCCTGTGGGTAGGGCCGCACATGTGCTCATGCGTGCGTTTAACTACGACATGTCATCTAAGGGCCATCGAAGTTGCGGTGCGGACCGAGACCCCGATGGCCGTCGACTGTGTTTTTAGCTAATCGGTGGCTGGGGGGGCGGTGAGAACCGCCCTGGAACGCGGGTGTACCTTGTGTACGCGTTGTGTTGGTCTCGCCGTGCTCGGAGGCGAGGGCGAACTTGTGTGTTTGTTGTTGCACTAACTGTGGGTGTAGTGTTCTCCGGCGGGACCCCCGGCGGTGGGTCCGGCGTATCTAAGTCCCCTTCCTCGACCGGGTCGATGAGGACGTTTCGCGGTCGACGCTTGTTGACGTTCGCGTTTGTGTCGGGTTGGTAATTTGCTGCGCTTACCACCAGAGGGTTGGGATGATGTTCGGCTCTATCGAAGAACCGTTTGGTCAGGTCTTTAAAATATTCGCGAATCGTCGGGAGTCTGCAATCACTGTGCAGATCGACGTTGCGTTGATACCACTGCGCACCGGTTGCACGGCGGATGAACTTATTTTGTACTATTTTAAAAAGTTTAGGTTATCGGATAAGCTAAAGAGATGCTTTCCGTTGTTATTTGGGATGCTTTCCGTTGTTATTTGGGATGCTGTTGGTGTCTCATGAGCCGTGTTTGCAGTTTAGATCTCCTGCAATTATCACGGAAGGGCCTGAGTTAAGTAGCGTATCTAGGTCGCTTTGAAGTAAGGTTCTATTCCCCGAGAGGTAGGCTGAGACTAGTACAAGCGGCCTGTGGCCGGTGAGCGCTAACCTACACGCGGATGCCTCTATTTGACTTAGCTCTGGAATGTCGAGCGGGCAACAGTGCAAGGATCGTTTATAATAAATTAACGTGCCTCCCAGACGGTTTGCTAACCGGTCGTGGCGGACAATGTTGTAATTTGCGATTCTGGGATCGCGTACACTAGGCTTCAAGAATGTCTCTTACAATAGAAAAATATCTACGTTATAATCGCGAAGGAATTCCGCGATTTCGTCCCTTTGACCCTTTATGCCGTTTGCGTTGAAATACGAAACAACCAGAGCCTGAGGTTTTGTTCTACCTGCGGTTGTACTTCCCATTAAGGTGTTTTTATGGGTCTAATTAACGACGCGGCGGAGCGCGGTTTTATTGCGCGGACTATTGTCTTTTACGGTTGGCTCGTAAAAGCCCAAAGGGCTTCCACAAGCGTTTTATGTTGGCTAATTGCCCTAAGACGCTCGTTGCCAGATGTGGCGGCCGCTATTTTAGCGGATAATACGACGAGTTCCTGCCTATTGATCGTGTCTAATAGGCTGCAGATGTTTGCGATTTGCGCGAATGGGTCGTCTTTATTTTCCGCGAAAACCGACGGAGTTGGCTGCACCTGCGGCCGCGGCGCCGTTTGACAGGCGGGCAGCGATTGTGCGATCGGTCGTGAGGCGACCGGGATTACCGGCGTGGTTACCTGCGCGGCCACCTGGGGTTTCGCCCAGGCGTTTATGACGGGTACGGGCGCGGGAATGAATTTAACGGGCGCGGGTTTGGGCAACGTAGATTTCGCGGGAGATTTTCTCGCGGGAGTTTTCGGGGCCTTGGCGCAGCCTCTATAACTAGCCGGGTGGCCGGTAGCGTGACAGTTTACGCAGTCCGGTGGATCTGCGCAATCTTTAGGCCTCGTGCACTCGGATGTGCCGTGGTCACCGGTGCATTTGACGCACCTAGGGTGAGCGAAGCAGTTGTTTGCCGTGTGGCCAAAATGTTGACAGTTGTGGCACTGTGCCACAACCCGTTACAAAAGTGTGTTGCAAAAGTTCATGGGCAGTGGCAATCACTTACCATTAGGTGGATCGCTAGCTCGATTGCCACTTTCTCACATAAAAAAATCTATTTCCCTATAAATTTTATATTTGAATATGAGGGGTTCTCTGATTGTATTTGCGGAGTTCAAAGTCCAACATTTAGAATTTTTAAATTCGGTTTATAAATAACGAAGTTCGGAGGTAACAATAATTAAAAAATTAAGAACCGAATTAGGAAGACTTTGTCGGTTGTAAAATAAAATCAAAAATGGCAGATCAGAAAGCAAATGAATATCTCGCATTTATATGGTAATGTTAACTGAAATGTTAAAGGTAACGTAACTTATATAATAGTTTTGTTTATATTTTGTCGAGTATACAGAAAGTCTAAGGAGCCACCTG